TTCCTCTTGCAATAATTGTGGCTCAATTGCCAAAAGATGTACCCTCATTATTATGAGTGCCTTCAGTAATCACCATGTGTTTTGTTTCAAGGGTCATAAGTTTAATTGATTGTTGGTCACCTTTTGAGTGGCCGGGAGGATCACGTACTCCCGTAAGTTCATGCACTCTGCCCTTCTTTGGAAGTGATTGCAACCTCTTGTCATGCATTATGCCCTTCTTCGGAAGCGATTACACTCTCTTGTTTGGAAACTGTTTTTTGCACTTAATAAAATTGTTTGGCCCTTGACTTTTATGGTCGGTTTGCTTCTTCCCGCCTCCGGGACCTGAGCTTGCTAGTCTCCACAAGTGTGCATTCGCAGAGACCACGAAGAAAAATGGTAGGTTACATACCTGTGACCATCTTTCTTCGAGTGGTGCTCTGCGAATTCACACTAACCCGCCCAGCCTCCCCTCAGTCAAACCTCCAATTTCTCGCTACCGTGCGGCGTAGGAATTGGAGCGGCGCCGCGGGGCGCCCTTTTATCCCCTGCCGGGGCTGGGCGGGGTTACCGCCAAAACTTAAAAGTTTCAAAAGTAGAAGTTTTCCGTTGGAGCCCGCGCAGGCGCAGACTCTCCACAAGTGTGAATTCGCAGAGCACCACTCGAAGAAAGATGGTCACAGGTATGTAACCTACCAATATATATATATATATATATATATAGAGAGAGAGAGAGAGAGAGAGAGATCTTTGAAAACTATTTCTTGATTTAAGTCGTTGGCGTGCTGGCTGATATCCGAACAGGGGACATGAGAGAAGCCTCCTTGCAGCATATATATATATATAGAGAGAGAGAGAGAGAAAGAGAGATCGCTATAGAATGTGGAAATTTCCTCGTCAAAATGTTCTGCAAAAAACAAGGCCATCCAGGAATTTCAGGTGTTAGAGAAGTGCAAGAGGTGCAGGAAGGAAGCGAGACACACACCGTAAGTGTGTGTGTAGCAAGGTCAAGAGTAGAGAGGGGTGAGGAAGTAAGAGGGAGTGCCACAAGAAAACACCAAGGACATGAGATGAGGTGAAGGAGGGAGTAGGAGAGTCAAGAGGAATAGTTTGGTTGAGAGTGGATGGAGAATTGGACTTGGGTGTCCATGCTCCAAGTCCAGCACATTATATGTTATGATACTGGTTCCCTTAGGTCAGCTGAAACTGAATACAGGAAAAGGGTAGATGGAGAAAGCAATAACTAATGTGCCTAATTCACCTGTTTAGAATACAAACTAGTGATTGCGTAATTTGGAATAATTTGAATGATGTGCATTCTAGCTGCTCAGATTTGAAGAAGTTCAATGTAGCAACTAGATATGGCTACCAATTTGTTTCTGGGCACATTTCAAAGTGCTGAACATTATTTAAATATGCCCTTTATGGCTTGGTTCCAGACTATCTGAAAGACAATCTCTCCTGATACCAACCTAGAGAGCTTTGAGATCTTAAAGGAATGGCTTTTTCCCCAGTACCATTAACATCACAGGCTTGGGGCCACAAAGTGGAGTCCACGACATGCGAGTGTGGAAAAGAGCAAACCACAGACCACCTCTTACAATGCAGCCTGAGCCTTGCCACGTGTACAATGGAGGACCTCCTTACAGCAAGACAAGAGGCACTCCAAGTGGCCGCTACTGGTCAAAGGACATTTAATAGAATGCTAAGTTTCTAAACTTTGTGCTTTATTAAAAAAAATACATTACAACTGTACAATTGGTTCGCTCCTATTTATGTATCGTATCAGGAGCGAACCAAACAGTTGTATTGTATTTCTTAAAAACCCAAAAAACCCTCACTGTCTGAGTGGTCCTCCAAGTGCAGTGTCCTGGCGGTGGGTACATAGGTGGCTGTGGAGCCCTATTCTAGGGCATCGGTTCCCAGGTAGAAGGCAGTCCTGGTCGGGGTTGGCATGACGCTCCTTCCTCTTGGCACGTTTCTCTCTTTCGCCCTCCTTTCATTCCTCTTCTAACTCTACAGCACTGCTGGTCACAGCTGACTTTCAGCTAGAGCGCTCAAGGGCCAGGGTATCCCAGTTCTCGGTGCCACAGTTTTTAAGGTTGGCTTTAAGCCCATCTTTAAATCTCTTTTCCTGTCCCCCAAAATTCCGTTTTCTGTTCTTGAGTTCAAAGTAGAGTAACTGCTTTGGGAGACAGTGATCTGGCAACGTGACTGGTCCAGCAGAGTTTATGGCGGAGTACCATTGCTTCAATGCTGGTGGTCTTTGCTTCTTCCAGCATGCTGACATTTGTCTACCTGTCTTCCCAGGATTTTTCGGAGAAGTAATCGTTCCAGGAGCTGCATATGACGTCTGTAGAGACTCCACGTTTCGCAGGCATATAGCAGGGTTGGGAGGACAATAGCTTTATAAACAAGCACCTTGGTATCCCTACGGATGTCTCAGTCCTCAAACACTCTGTGCTTCATTCAGAAAAATGCTGCACTCGTAGAGCACAGGTAGTGTTGTATTTAAGTGTCAATGTTGATTTTTGTGGAGAGGTGCCTGCCAAGGTAATGAAAATGGTCAATATTTTCTAACATTACACCATTAAGCTTTTTTGGCATTGCAGAAGGATTGGCTGGTTCCTGCTGAAAGAGCACTTTAGTTTTCTCGATGCTCAGTGAGAGGCCAAGCTTTTTGTATGATTCTGAATGCGCACAGACTACATTATCATCAGCACATTGGAGTTTTATAACAGATGTTGTTGTAACCTTGGTTTTGGCTTTCGGTCTACTGAGGTTAAATAGCTTGTTGTCTGTCTGATAGATGATTTCCAGGCTGGCGGGAAGCTTTCCATCGACAAGGTGCAGTGTCATAGCAATAAAGATGGAGAATAAGGGTTAGCACTTGCAGAGCTCAGGCGGTGTTGTATTTCAGTGTCGATGTTGACTTTTGTGGCTGCCAAGGTAGCAGAAATGATCAACATCTTCTACTGTTACACCATTAAGCTGTCTCTCTGGCATTGGAGAGGGATTGGCTGGTGACTGCTGGAAGAGCACTTTGGTTTTCTCGATGTTCAATGACAGACCGTGCTTCTCGTATGCTTCTGCGAAGGTGTTTAGAGTGGCTTGTATACGAGAGAAGTCTCCCCTCCTTCCAGATACACTACATTGCTCATCTCACCCAGTATTTTTAAACTTTTTAATCTTTGCCACTGGCCCTGCCCATTGTGTTCAATTATTGTGATTTTATATTGCATTGTGTTTACTTTGTATTGTTTCTTGTATTTTTATTTTCAGTATATTTTATTGCTGTACTTTCATGTCGTATATTTGCATTGTTGTAATTGTTGGGCTTGGCCTCATGTAAGCTGCCCCGAGTCCCCTTGGGGAGATGGTAGCAGGGTATAAATAAAGATGATGATGATGATGATGATGATTATTATTATTATTATTATTTGAAACACAAGATAAGTCCACAGCAGACAAGATCACTCTGCTGGCTGTTGAATTGGATTACACGTCAGACACTTCCCAAGTGTCTAGGAGTGTGTGATGTATTGGCGAATACTGAGTGAGATCCCAGTAAAGTTGCCTTCTGTAGCTGGCAGATGGTAATTTTGTCAGCGCCAATTGTGTTTAAGTGCAGGCCAAGGTCTTTAGGCACTGCACCCAGTGCTGATCACCACTGGGACCACCTTGACTGGCTTGTGCCAGAGACTTTGCAGTTCAATCTTTAAATCCTCATATCGTGTCAGCTTTTCCAGTTGTTTCTATTCAATCCTGCTGCCACCTGGGATTGCAACATCAACAATCCATACTTTGTTTTTTAACACGATTGTGAGGTCAGGAGTATTGTGCTCCAGAACTTTGTCTGTATGAATTCGGAAGTCCCAGAGGAGTTTGACGTATTCATTTTCTGTAACTTTTTCCGGCTTGTGATCCCATCAGTTCTTTATCTTAGGCCAGTGGTTCTCAACCTTCCTAATTCCGCGACCCCTTAGTACAGGTCCTCACGTTGTGATGACCCCCAACCATAACGTTATTTTCGTTGCTACTTCTTTAATTCTGCTACTGCTATGAATCGTAATATAAATATCTGATATGCAGGATGTATTTTCATTCACTGGACCAAATTTGGCACAAATACCCAATACGCTCAAATTTGAATACTGGTGGGGTTGGATTTTGTCATTTGGGAATGTTGGAGTTGCTGGGATTTATAGTTCACCTAAAATCAAAGATCCTTTTGAACTCCACCAATGATGGAATTGAATCAAACTTGGCACACAGAATTCCCATGGCCAAGAGAATACTGGGAGAGTCTGGTGGACACTGACCTTGAGCTTTTGGAGTTGTAGTTCACCTACATCCAGAGAACACTGTGGACTCAAACAGTGATGGATCTGGATCAAACTTGGCACAGATAATCAATATGCCCAAATGTGAACACTAGTAGAGTTTGGAGAAAATAGACCTTGCCATTTGGGAGTTGTAGTTGTTGGGATTCATAGTTCACCCACAATGAAATAGCATTCTGAACCCCACCAAACTTCCCACACAGAACACCCATGACAAAGAGAAAATACTATGTTTTCTGATGGTCTTTCGTGACCCCTCTGACCCCACAGGGGTCCCGACCCCCAGGTTGAGAAACACTGTCTTAGGCAGATGGTATTTATTATTGATGTTGTTGTTGTTGTAGGTCTTCTGAGTGTGCACAGACGACACTGTCATCAGCATATTGGAGTTCTATAACATCTGTTGTAGAACTCGCTCCTGATCCGATAAATAAATCCATAAACAAGGCTTGTTTTGTAAGGGCATAAAAGAGGCTTCTGAGACACCGCTCCCGGCCTTGAGCCATGCCAGTTAAAGGAGTGCCCATCTGCGTTATGATTCCCACAGGGCAGATGCGCCATGGCTTCTCTCCAGCCTCAGTCCTGTCCTTCCTCCTGCAAAGCAAGGCACTGCCCCGGGCCAAAGGGGAGGGGCGGGGCGGGGGGCGGGCCCCTCCCTCCCCATCCCTCCCTCCTCCCTCCTTCCTTCCCTTGTGGCCCTGGGCCTGGCATCGCCCATCTCCCTTGGAGGCCCAGGAAGGCCAGCTCTGCCTGCAAGCCTTGCTCAGCGCCAGGGACGAAGGCGGGGAAGAGCAGCGCGGGGACGAGCGCCTCGCCAGCCGCAAATTGCAGGTTTTCCACCGCCGGAGGGAGAGGCAGCGCCTCCGAAGCGCATGTCCTTTTTTTTTTTGTGGGGGGGGGGGGGAATCCTCTTTGCATGTCAGGCTTCAACCCCGCCTCCCCCCTCCTTCCCCAGATCTGGGTTTATAGAAAGGGAGAAGGGGCACCTACGCAGTGGAATGAAGGCAGTTTGCCACGACTTGGCTCAGTGCCGTGGCATCATGGGAGTTGTAGTTTTCACAGCCTTCCCTGCCAGAGGGTGCTAGTGCCTCCCCCACAAACTATCGCTCCTCTGATTCCATAGCATTGAGCCGTGGAGGTTTAAAGACTTCATCACTCTAGAGCAGTGGTTCTCAAGCTGTGGGTCCCAGCTGTTTTGGACTACAACTCCCAGAAATTCCAACCAGTTCACCAGCTGTTAGGATTTCTGGGTGTTGAAGGCCAAAACATCTGGGGACCCACAGGTTGAGAACCACTGGTGTAGGGAATGAATCCATTTAAAATCCGGTTTCTGCTTCCTGCAGAATTCTGGGTTTTGTAGCTTAGTGAGGCTGGTAAAGGCTCCTTCCTAAACTACAAACCCCAGAGTTCTGCAGGAGGCAGAAACCGGATGATGAAGTTGTGAAGCTGCATTCATTCAGCAGTGTGGATACACACTTGGTTTGGAGTGGGGCAGCAAGGCTGGTGGACTGGTGTTGTTTCCCAGATATATTTATTTATCGTGTCAGGAGCGAACCAAAACAGTTGTATTGCATTAAAACACAAAGTGTGCAGACTTGGTATTCTATTGAATGTCCTTTGACCAGTATCTGGCCACTTGGAGTGCCTCTGGTGTTGCTATAAGAAGATCCTCCATTGTGCAGGTGGCAGGGCTCAGGTTGCATTGCAGTAGGTGGTCAGTGGTTTGCTCTTCTCCACACTTGCATGTTGTGGATTCCACTTTGTGGCCCCATTTCTTAAGGTTGGCTCTGCCTCTCGTGGTGCCAGAGCGCAGACTGTTCAGCGCCTTTCAAGTGGCCCAGTTTTCTGTGTGCCCAGGGGGGAGTCTCTCATTTGGTATCAGCCATTGATTGAGGTTCTGGGTTTGAGCCTGCCACTTTTGGACTCTCACTTGCTGAGGTGTCCCAGCGAGTGTCTCTGTAGATTTTAGAAAACTATTTCTTGATTTAAGACATTGACGTTCTGGCTGATACCCAAACAGGGGGTGGGCTGGAGATGTCACTGCCTTGGTCCTTTCACTATTGGTTGCTACTTCTTGGCGGATGTTAGGTGGTGCAGTACCGGCTAGGCAGTATAGTTTCTCCAGTGGTGTAGGGCGCAGACACCCCGTGATAATGAGGCATGATTCTGAAAACAGGGAAACATGGCTGCGGGAAATGCAGCCTTTGGAACTGGCTTCTTTCCTGGACTTAGGAAATTCCATCCAGTTTACCTGCTGTTAGGAGTTGTGGGAGTTGAAGTCCAAAACACCTGGATGGCCAAAGTTTGCTCATACCTGACTTAGCTGCAGGAAGTACTCCAGCTGGTTTGTTGTAGGTTTTTCGGGTTCTATGGCCATGTTCTAGAACAGGGGTCTTCAAACTTTTAAAACAGAGGGCCACGTCACAGTCCCTCAAACTGTTGGAAGGCCAGATTATAATATGAAAAAAAACATCAATGAATTCCTATGCACACTGCACATATCTTATTTGTAGTGCAAAAAAACCCCCTCAAAAACAATACAATAATTAAAATGAAGAGCTATTTTAACAAATCTAAACTTAATAGTATTTCAATGGGAAGTGTGGGCCTGCTTTTGGCTGATGAGATAGGATTGTTGTTGTTATTGTGTGCCTTCAATTCGTTTCAGACTTAGGTTGACCCTGAGCGAGGGCCGGGTAAATGACTGTGGAGGGCTGCATCCGGCCCTCGGGCCTTAGTTTGAGGACCCGTGTTCTAGAAGCATTCTCTCCTGACGTTTCACCTCCATCTGTGGCAAGCATCCTCAGAGGTTGTGAGGTTTGTTGGAAACTGGAAAATTGGGTTGACCTCACAAGCTCTGAGGACGCTTTCCATAGATGCAGGTGAAACGTCAGGAGAGAATGTTTCTAGAACATGATCACACAATCCAAAAAACCGACCACAACGCAGTGATTCCGGCTATGAAACCTTTGACAAGGACTCCAGCTGTTGGGAAACAGTCAATCAAGCCAAACGTTCTTTGCATCCCCCAGAAGGACAAAATAGTGAGTCTGTATGAGTGTCAAATTATTTTGTAGACTTGTCTTTGGTTGTCAGGTTGCTGGATTTGTTTTGTAGAACCGTTTGTGTCTGTGTTGTGTTGGTAGATGTATTGGACTTTGTAGAATCATGGGTACATTTGTGTGAGTATCACAGGTGTATTTTGTAGAAGTATATGTGTATTGGGTTGCTGTGAGTTTTCCAGGCTGTATGACCATGTTCTAGAAGCATTCTCTCCTGATGATTCACCCACCTGTATTGTAAGCATCCTCAGTTGTAAGATCTGTTGGAAAACTATGTAAGTGGGGTTTATATATCTGTGGAATATCCAGAGTTCCATTATACAAATGGCTTCTCTGTGTTGTCTGACACGGTAGTTGTTAGCATGTGCTCTGTGTTCTCAAATAATATGCTGTGTCCAGAAATACTGGATCACTCTAACAAGTACCATGTCAGACAACACAGAGAAGCCATTTTTGTGTGTGTCAAGAGCGACTTGAGAAAATGCAAGTTGCTTCTGGTGTGAGAAAAATGGCTATATGTAAGGATGTTGCCCAGAGGACGCCCAGATGTTTTTGATGATTTATCACCCTTGTGGGAGGCTTCTCTCATATCCCCGCATGGGAAGCTGGAGCTGACAGAGGGAGCTCATCCGCACTTTCCCCAGATTCGAACCTGCGACTTGTTGGTCTTAAGTCATGTTGATACAAGGGTTTAAGAAGCCATTGAAATCCACAAGCATGTGGACAATTTCAACAAAAAGGAGAAAACCATGAAAATGAACAAAATCTGGCTGTCAGTATTTTTTTAAAAACTTAAAATTAGGAAATAAATAAAGAACAACACTCTGCAAACAGGGGAATTCCAAACATGAAACAATCAGAGCCAGCTAATCACCTCCCAACAAAAGATTTCCCCAGGCAGGAATCAGCCAGACCTTGAAGCTGCAAGGCTTTGCAGTGCTAATCAAGGTGATTAATTGCAACATTCACACTTGCCTCCAACAGACAAGTATTATTTCTTCCGTCTAATAATAATAATAATAATAATAATAATAATAATAATAATAATAAACAACTTTATTTATATACCACTCTATCTCCCCGAGGGTACTCAGAGCGGTTTCCAAGTAACATCATCAATACATACAGAGTAAACAACATAATCATAAAATTAACAAAATAATATAAGCATAAAAATTGTCGCCATAACACATATATGGCGACAAGAGACCTTCAACAGATATACAAACCTCCCTTGTTTAGTTTCCAATATACCTCACAACCTTGGAGGATGCTTGCCATAGATGCTGGCGAAATGACAGGAGAGAATGCTTCTGGAACATGTCCATACAGCCCGGAAAACTCACAGCAACCCAGTGATCCCGGCAATGAAAGCCTTTGACAACACATATGTGTGTATTCTTGGATGTACTTCACCTGACCGTGGCAACTTGGAGTCATAGATATGCCTTTACTACATCTTTACATATTCTCAGTGGCAGTCCTCTTGTGTTTGTGTACCTGCCTCCCACCGTCACCTTGATTTATGGCATCTCCCCAGATTTCATAGTGTTTTCTCGGACATTGAATGCTCAGAAGTGGTTTTGTCAGTTCCTTCCTCCAAAAAAATAGCCATCAGCACCTGGGAAGGCTCTCATCCAATTATTAACCAGGGCTGATCCTGCTTCTCTTCCAAGATCAGACAAAATCTGGGGCCTTTAGGCTGCTGTGTTTTGTGGAACTGGGCTGCACTTTCCACCTCCCACCATTTTGCATTTTGTTTGCCTTCTTCAGTTGGTCAGATCAGGGTCCAAATCAGGACGCTTAAGTAGAGGAAGTCTTACTCCACATAAAGCCTTACCTATGTAAACAGTTCTAAGACTGTGCAATAAAGGGGATTAACTTTTAGGCAGTGTCACCCTCTTTCTTAAAATGGAATCCTTGATTAGGTGATCTCATAGCAACCTTGGCATCTGCGTATGTATAATTGCATTCTTGGGCTCTGCCAATTTGACAGGACATTTTTTAAAAATGGAGAGGAAACTCTCAGATAATTCTTTGCAGTAAATAGGAAGACATTAGTTAATTAGCTGGAAATCTCTGGGATTATGATGACTCTGGCCTAAACTATGTTTGTGTTAAATATTAAATATGTAATGCAGAGCTTTGCAAATTGTGTGTTGTGACATATTAGTGTTGACTGCAGTGTGTTGTGCAAATATAAAGAGAAACCTCTGAGTCTATGTAAAGTAATAAATCATATGTTTTTTTTAAAATGCTTTTTTTGTGTCAGGAGCAACTTGGAAACTGCTAGTTGCTTCTGGTATGAGGGAGTTGGCCGTCTGCAAGGACGTTGCCTAGGGGACGCCCAGATGTTTTACCGTCCTGTGGGAGGCTTCTCTCATGTCCCCGCATAAGAAGCTCGAACTGACAGGTGGGAGCTCACTCCTCTCATATCCCCGCATGAGAAGCTGGAGCTGACAGATGGGAGCTCAGCCCTCTCATGTCCACACATGAGAAGCTGGAGCTGAAAGATAGGAGCTCACCCTCATGTCCCCGCATGAGAAGCTGGAGCTGACAGATGGGAGCTCACCCCTTTCTCATATCTGGAGCTGACAGACAGGAACTCACCCTCCTCTCATGTCCCCACATGAGAAGCTGGAGCTGACAGATGGGAGCTCACTCCTTTCTCATAACCTCATATGAGAAGCTGGAGGTGACAGATGGGAACTCACCCCTTTCTCATATCTGGAGCTGACAGACAGGAGCTCACCCTCCTCTCATGCCCCC